GGCCATGAGGTCAGTTAGGGTCTAATTTTAGCCATGTACTCGCAGTCCTTCATGACTCATGGAGGACCACTCTAGATGCACAGCTGACTTATATAGCCTTGAAAATGTGCCCAGATCATCTCAACTCCATGGTCCCCTCAAGTATCAACTCAAACGTCACTTCCGTGACTCTCCATTTGGTTAGATGTCCCCACTATGAGTCCTAACATATGCTATTCTTTTTAGTCATGGTAGTTTCTGTACAGCCAGGCCTTTAAGGGCCATTGTGATATTAATGGAAATGGACTTAGGTGACACATGAATTTGGACTTGAATTTGGTTTCAGGCATGTCTTTGGGGTTTTTTTCCTGGAATAGTGATCTGTAGATTTCCTGTTTTCTAATTTTCTTCCTCTCTGCCTCTCACCCCTGATTCTCCGAGAGATCCCTCGCCTGAGCACCCTGGCCCATCCCACCACCCCCTTGACTCTGATGGAATGCCATCTGCACAGGGGCTGGGGTGGGCACAGCCGGGGGTGGGGAGCAGGAGGAAGAGGGCCTCACTTTCATTTCTGAATATTCCTTCCTTGGTGTTTGTCTCCAAAGACAAACAAAAAATTAGAGTTGTGTATTTAGATGTACGTGTATGTTTTTTCATGTTCCTGGCAGAGCTGCTGCCTGGCTGCTGCCTTCTCGGGGGAGGGATGGCATTTTTAAGCAGGATGAATTGCAGTGGAGTCGCTGCTGTTCTGCACCCGGGGCCATCAATCTTGTTTTGAGTGCTAGGCCTGCCGGTCTGCTTGGTCAGGCTCATCTTTCTAGGGCAGACTTATTTATGGAGCCATAGCAAAGGTAATCTCACTCCCCGGCCCCACAGGCTGAGCCTCTCTTGGCCTCTCTTAAAAATAGCCCAGGATGAAGAGGGAGAGCCAGGGTCTGGTTACCTCCTGCACTCGGGGTCTGATCTTGCCTCACCTCCTGCATCTAGCAGCTCAGCCCTTCTCAGGGGCTGCTGGTTGGGCTTATGGCCCTGCAGGAGGTGGTCAGCCTCTCAGTCTTTCTCCAGCTCAGAGTTCCTGGCCAGTGGTAGTTCCCCTTAAGGGGAGTAGAGAAGGCATGGGGAGTGGGGAATCCTTCCCAGCTA